TTGTTCAGACATCATAAACTTGCAGAGGATTCCAAAATTGTGACAGTATACAGACCTGATCGTGCAAACACTTATCCACCTGCTTCACTTTACTCATTGTGAGATGTCCCATTGAAGGGACATCGCAGAAACTAGCGGGCTTAAGTGTTGGGTGAACTGAAAACAGGCAAAGTTGTTGCACAGTATGGGAACACAGCACTGAATCTGGGGCCTCTCTTGGAGCATGTGCCAAACATGCCACAGTCACACCACGCTGAGACCAGGGGAACTGAGAATAAGCAGGTTCAGTGCATGCCATAGTTGAGATGCGGGATGAGAACACCCACAGCAACAGCAATGAATGGGATGGTTCACACCCCTTGGAACTATTCATTCAAGCTATTTTAATCTTCATGGGATTTTTTGATTCCACACCTCTGCAAGTCTCCTATGCTACACAGGAGCACGCAGAGCCCCTTCACCCTACACTGAGGTGGGGTAGGGACTCTGGGGTCCCTTCCCCCTTTCTGCCTCCTTCTAGCAGAGGCACTCCTCACAGACCCACCTAGAGAACAAGGAAATGCACAGTTAAGGTAACCTCCTCTTCTAGACCATACACGCGACACAATCTTAACTCTGCCACTGGGGAGATGGCCTTAGTCACAGGGAATATAACAATACCTTATCCAGGCTAACAAAAACTGATAGTTTCATAGTGCCCACAATGCTCCATGTCAGCATTCCTATTATACACTTCTATGTACCTTCATTGTGTTCTCTGTGGCACCATTGATAGAAGATGCTGGTAGGGCACTGGCAGACCTCACAGTAGTATAGCAACGCCATTTTCCTGAGGCACTTTTGAGAGCAGGAATCAGAGGGTTTTAAAGATGTAAAATTTCCTCTGACTTAGCCCAACACTGCCCTTTTTCATCCTAACTGCTGAACTCAACCCACTTTAGGGAAGGGAAGGCACTGAGATCTCCCTGAGGTACTCTTTATTGTGGTGATCAAAGGGGAAGAGGGTTAAGGCAATGGTGGAAGTGCTATGGGAAGCATTATCTTAACTGAGCATTTCCTTGTTTTCTAATGTTTGTGTTTTGTTTTGTGTATTTGCTGATGTTCAGGCATGTGTATGTCAGGTGGCCACTTCTACATTCTGGGAGGGTATGATGAGGCATTGCCAGGCAACCTACCCTCCCTTTAACTGTGTTTTGTTAAAACAAGGAGTCCAGTGGCACCTTAAAGATTGACAGATTTATTTAGGCATAAGCTTTTGTTTTTCATGTTTTGTTAGTGAATAGAGGATTCCACATGGCTTCACACACAGGAACAGTCAGTGGAAAAAGAACGGAAGCCCTCGTACACGTTAAAAGATTTTGAATAATGATTTATAAAAATAAATCACAGTTCAGTGTGAATAGAATCTCCAATTTCTCTCACATGCATGACATGCCTCTGGGGATATGGGCAGGGTTGTGATGTCTGCTGCCAACACCAGATGGCTCTCAGGTTTTCCTTTCAGAGTGTTAGCTGTGTTAGTCTGTATCAGCAAAAACAAGGGGGAGTCCTTGTGACACCTTAGAGACTAACACATTTATTTGGGTATAAGTTTTTGTGGGCTAAAACCCACTTCTACGAAAGCTTATGCCCAAATAAATGTGTTGGTCTCTAAGGTGCCACAAGGACTCCTCGAGGTTTTCCTTTGCAACACTATTCATATCTCCCCTCATCAAGAGTCAGGGACACAGGACGCTCATTAATGTCTCCTTTGTTCAAACATGCATTAGAGGACTGTAACACTTTACATAGAGTAGACATATTCCCTACCCTAAAAAGTTTCTCTCTCTCTCTCTCTCTCTCTCTCTAAGGTACTTATCTGACCACCATTATTGTAGTAGCTGAGTGCTTTGCAATCTTGAATGCATTTATCCTTATAACACTCCGGTGTGGTAGGGAAGTGCTAGCTATTAGACTCATTTTACTGATGGGAGTCAGACGTCTTCACTGACACAAGAGTTTTGTTTAGTATCAGAGGGGTAGCTGTGTTAGTCTGAATCTGTAAAAAGCAACAGAGGGTCCTGTGGCACCTTTGAGACTAACAGAAAGAGTTTTGTTTGTTTGTTTGTTTTGTACAAGATCCCTAATACATACTAGTTATCTCACTGTAAAATCCTAAATGGAGACAAGGTACTAGTAGTTTTTGTCACAAGGTAGCCCTAGCCAGCAGTATAGTGCTGACTTATCTTAGTTCACCTCACGGTAAAACCACAGTGCCTTGTCTCTGCTCTATTTTTCCCTCGGAGTAGCTAACCTGTGTTAATTATCCCATAGTAACAACATGCCTTTTTGGCTAGTGAAGACAGTCACAGAGAGTCTAAGGCCGAGTCCACACTACAAACTTCTGTTGGTCAGGATGCGTGGAAGTGTGATCCTTGACCAAAATCGCTGTGTTGGCAAAAAAAACCTGGCAAAACTGCTTTTGCTGGTATAGTTTATTTCATTGGTGAGGAGTGGTTGCCAGAATAAACTCCACTGGCAAAAGTGCAGTTTTGCCTGTATGATCTGTGTCCACACTAGGAGCACTTTGCCAGTATAATATACTGGTATAGCTATTCCAGAAAAGCACTTCTAGTGTAGCCTTATCCAAGGTCACACAGGGAGTCTGTAGTGGAGCTAAAAAATGAACCAGGTTTCTATTTAGCACCCTAACCGCTCTTCCACTCTCCTGTTATCTCAGGATATCAACCTACAGTAGACATCACAGGAGGAAATGAACAGGGCTTTGCAGTTAAAAGGGGCTGTATGTAAAGGAAGAATGGAAAGGGGAAAAAGAAAAGCCAAACCCCATTACACTCCAGGGGCAGGCCTCTCCCAGCAACAAACGTGTTTGCTTAGCTGCAGTTATGTCAATGGAATGGAAAACTTTCCATTTCCAATCCCCAGTATCTTTTAATTGGGTGTGTGTCTGTGTGTGTCTCTGTGTGTGTGTGTGTATATGTGTGGACGGGGGGGGGGGTTAACGTTTGTTTGCACTGCGTGAGTCCCAGGCAGCAGCAGCAGCTCTGGGTCCTGCACACCAGAGTGGGGAGCGGGGGGCACACCTAGATCCCACCGTGTGCTAGGCTGGGGGCTCTGCGCGGGGAAGCAGAAACGCTGCTCCCCGGGAGGGGTCTCA